CTTTTTTGGTGACTCCTGTCAGCTAAGTTTTCTGATCTCTTCGCTGTCTCTCAGCTTTCATCTTCTGTGTAGTTTCAATTCTCTCATTCCACTTCTCAGAATTCTTCTGCTGCTTTTTCTTCTTCTTCTGTAGGCTCTGTTTCAAAAGCTTTGGGTTATCATGAATTAATCCCTGCAGCTATACTAGTTGCTGCGTTCATGAAAGCTTCTTTGCGATCATCTCCCCTTTCTCAGGATCTTTCTTCGCTTCTTCAATTTTTTGAGCTTTTTCAAGCTCCATAAACTTAGAAAGCTTCCTTCTTTTTCCCATGCTTTTCATCATTCCAATTTTGACATGACTAAATGCAAGTCCCTTCGAAGCCTCCGCTATATCCTCCTACCCTTTTGATGCATCAATAGTTGCAGATTCTGTCCTTCAGATCCAGATTCTCTTTTGCGTTTCTTTTGCTGAATACCCTCTCTCACCTTCTTCTTAATTGATCTGAACTTCCAGCATTTCGACCTGCCTGAAGCTCTTCAATCTGCGGCGAAGTCTTTGCCTGAGTTCTTCATATGTAACTGATGTTCATCACCTTCTAGACCCACATCCAGGTTTAACTTCTATTTCTTCATCATACTATCCTCATTTGATTTTTCCTTTTCTAAGTTTTGCTTAAGCAAATCAAGTGTTGTTTTATTAGAATTTGGATCAAACCGTTCCCTTCGAGCTTTCTTGATGTTTTCTCTGATTCTTTCTTAGCAACAGCTTTTTTCTTGCTAAGACCCTGAAACCATTGCTTCTTATCATCAGAAGGTACATAGAACTTTGCGGGGATGAGCTCAATCACTTGTCAAAGAACAATGTATGTTGCTGAATGATTGCGTTAGATCACCATGGAACTGGCTTTATTAAAAAGTGTTTGCTTTTCTCCCCATCGCAGAGAGAGTCCAACCAAATAATAAGAATGATCAGTTAATAAGGTGCGGTAACATCTAGTTTCTTAAGCTTCAAAAAATATGAGATTCTATCAAGAATGGGTATTGCAAAAACAAAAATGAACTGGAGATGCAGTATTAAAATCTGAGTTCAGGTTTTCACCATTGTGAAAATTATATGTACATCAGGGGCCATGAGATTGAAGTGTCATGGCTAATTAGCTCTGATTGGCAAATAATCAACATAAAATAACAAAAATTAAATGCATTCAGGAAATAATATTACCATCAAAATGCTACTTCAGCAAGATTAAGATGCAAGAAAATAAAAAGGGGGCAACCTTCTTAGCAACAACAAAGTCCATTCTTAAACCCTTATTATTGCAATAAAATTTAACTTTAGATTTCATCAATCAGCAACTTACAAGTTCCAAATTGATTAAAGATTTAATTCAGATTTTTAGTCATTTAAAATCTATATTTATATCATCATGTAAGGCCGCGCTATTCATCCAACACAAACCTATTCTTCTAAAAAAATTATCTATGGAATGTTAGCACTTGTCGATATATAAATAATTCAAATTTACCAACAAATCATGGTAAATAAACTTATCATACAGATTGTAGCTGAATACTTCAATTAATGACAGAAAATAAAAAAAAGAATCAACAGATATATCTTTCATTCTATTTCATCATCTTCAAGGTAAGTAAAATGAAAAAGAAAATACGAGAGAAAGTTTGCATAGAGCAGAAAAGAAAACAACAAAAGACCTTTTAAAGGCGACTTCCTGTGCCGCAACCAGGTGATTCAGGTCGCCGGTGACGGTCGTCGTTCGTCGCCGGATCAATGATTAAAAAAAAGTTCGATGATTGCAACCGTGTGCTGATGAATGATAATTAAAAAGGAAAACCAAATTAGGTCTAAATATAAATAATAAATAAAAAAATCTATATATGGGAGAAAAAAAAAGAACGAAAGAAAGAAAAACTAACAACATTAAAACACAAAAACTGAAGGTTCAAAAACAAGATTGACCATGGTAAAAACAAACTATATTTAAACGAATATTTAAAAAAAAATAAAAACCTTAAAATTGTAGGTACGTGGACGGTGGTCTGAAGGCGGCGAAAAGACGACCACGGAGGGAACGGGTGTGTAGAGATTAAGAGACATGACCTTCCCTAAAAGATTACGATGGGTTGATGGGGTTCTTAGGGTTATGGCAGTTGAAAGTGAGGCCTTCAGGGTAATATAGAAGTTATTCTGTGTGTGCAACTTCATCATAAGCATTGCATCCAACCAATAGATATGAACCGACTGTATCGCTTTATATTTATTTTCTGTCGGCTTTTGAAGGGAAAATAATCAAATTATAGAAGGATGTGCAGCATTCGTGCACCGAATAACGTGATATAATCCTGATTATCGATTAATATTAATTCATAATTAATCGATGGTCAGGATTTATCACGTTATTCGGTAAATGAATCCGGTGCGTATCCTTCGGTAACTGTAATATTACTCTTTAGGAAAGACCGCACCAACTACAATATGACTTGAGGGTCTTTAGACAAGAGAAAAGAATAAGAAAATCTGAGTTATGAGTTATATAAAGTGGAATTTAAAAATTAACAAAAACACTCTTTTAGATTTGTTAATTTAGCTAATCACTCCTGTAATAACATTAAAAATTAACAAAAACATCTTCACTCACCTATTAAATGCCGGCAGTCAACCACCTGTCGGAGGGTGGTTGGAGTCGCGTATCAACTCACAATCGGTTGGATCTGGTTGGTCGTGCGTCGATATAGCATTTCAATGGATTTGGCTAGAAAAGGCCAGATCTGCCACCATGTTTGGTGTCAAACGTCAACTGTAGATCTGATCTTTTTCGGTCAGATCCACAGTGGATCTGGTGGCGGAAAAGGCTAGATCGAGCCACTACCGACCAGATCCAACGTTAGTGTGTCTTAACCAAATTCTGGCCACTTTCCGATGTGGTGGGCCAGAATCTGATAAATGTGAGGTGGTGGAGGGTGTTTTTGTTAATTTAAACTTTTTTTCAGGTGTTTAGTTAATTAACAAACCTAGGGGGTTTAATTGAATAAAATAGAATATGATTTTTAGAAGAGGGAAACAAATGAGTATTTTGGATAGGATAAGGATAGGATAGTGCAAAAATAATTAAGCAAACAACCTCTTTATTGTCTCCGGTATTATATATTCAAGATATTAATTTTAAGGTTGTTTATTAAAAATTTTAAATAAATTTAATACATCTAAAAATCTATTTATTATAAAATTTATTTTATTTGTATTTTACAATAATGTATTTAAATTTCTAAGCCATTTTTTAATATTTTTAAATTTATTTTAGTAATGTCATCAAATACATCTTCAACATGTATTAGCATTTTATCTAAGATTTTATTTATAATAGAAAGTGTTTTTATTATTAAGTAGAGGGGTTTTCAAAGGACAACCCTAAAACATAAAATTGACAAATGACACCCACGACTCGGATTAGCCACTTACTACCCCTGTCGTGAGTTTTTGCTGTTATTTGGATGGAAGACCATAATTGACCATGGAAAAGACGTAATGCCCTTCATAATTGATTAAGAAAATTTAAATGAAATTTGCTCTATGTATGGGACAAAGGGAGAGAGAAAAAAAAAATTCGAAAATTATTCTAGAGGGTAATTTATTGTTTAGGACAATTATGCCTTTAGATTTTGATTGTCAAATATGCAATTGCCTTTAAATATATGTGGGAGACTTTGAATTTCTTCATTGTGTTTATGGTAGTGGAATTTAGTTTTATTAAAACTTTGATTTTCAACTTCATATATGAGACATCAATGGAATTTATGAACGAGCAAACGACATGTTCCACCTAAGGTTAGCAAAAATCACAAGTTAATAACTTGGTTATATTTATTTTGATTCTCAACCTTAAACTAACTTCGTTTCCTTTATTTTAACAGTTAAAGGGCAAAAGCGTCAGAATAATCTCATTTCTCTCAACTCACCCTGTTGCCGATGTTGTCATCTCCCATTTTCCGTGCATCTCTGCCAGATTTCTCACCCAAGCCACAATCACACACAAATCACAAACAAACTCCGATTCAACCACACAACCTACTCAATCAAACTTCGAAAACAATCACAAACAAATCGGCCGATTACCGGCGATTGGTGGGGTTGACGAGGATCGGGTAAAAGGGCTTTTGGCGAGGAGGCTTAGGGAAGAAGATGGAGGTATCAGGGAAAGTCATTGTCGTCGGAAAAGTGGCACTGCACCAGTCCACCTCTCAATGCCACTCACCTCTTGCCAGTGATGTCTAGACCTGGCAAAATGGGCGGGTGGGTCGGGTACGGGTCAGGTCTCACGGGTGCGGGTCTTACGGGTACGGGCCCAAAACGGGTCGATTTAAACGGGCCTAATGTTTTGGACTAGCACCCTACCTTTTACGGGTATGGGTGGACCTGTGGGTGCCTGTACTGTTCACTCCAATTTTAGATTTTTGCAGTTACACCCCCAAATCTTCCTAAAATCTTCATTTTTGAGCAAAAGTTGTCACCAACCAAACAGAAAAAAGAAACCCACGTTTTCTCCCAAGTTTTCTCACCAGCTAAACAGAAACCCAAAACCTAACAAAGAAAAAGATTAAAAAACTTTATTGATTGTGCTTTCATTCCTCATCAACCAAATAAACCCACATAAAAAAATCTGAAAAAAGAAAAAAATTACGGAAGAAAAGCAACAGTTTGAGAATGAATTGACTCTGCAAATAGGCAAAGATTGAACAGATCTGAGTATCCTCTTTTACTGTTTAGTTTTTGAAACTTCTACCGCAAATTCTCCATTCTTCAGTCTTCATCCTAACCAAAACCTAACTCTGACTTTAATCACCTCCACTTCCACTCCCCACGTCCTACATGCAACCTGCTACCCCGCAGGCCGCAACGCATCCTCCATTGCATCACCAGATAGAGTTAATCATCTGCCAATGAACAAATGACACCTTACCAAAAAAAAGAACCTTCTATTTTAAACTACATTGTTACAGCAGAGATGACAACAGTGACGAATGACGCACAGAAGACCCTTGTGTTTCATACTGGACGAGCTCCAAAGGGGAAGAGAACCAATTGGGTTATGCATGAGTATCGTCCAACTTTGAAGGATCTTGATGGCACTTTACCTAGACAAGTTTGATTGAATTTTTCCTTTGGGTTTTTGTTTTTGTTTGATTGAATTTTTAATTTGGATTTTTGAATTTGTGTGATTTATGTTTTTGTTTTGTTGTTGGGTTTATTTGCAGAGTCCTTTTGTGCTGATGAGAAACGAAGACAGGACAAGCGACGATGATGAGTTTGAGAAAGTTAGGGATTTTGCGAGTTGGGGCAAAAACATGGCCAAACCCCAATTTAGAATTTAGGGTATCCTTGCAAAATGAAAAGGAGAAAAACAAACGGGTGCTCGCGGGCACCCGTAGGTGTACCCGCTTGACCCGTTGGCAAAACGGGTTGGGCCGGGTACAGGTAGAAGGAAAACGGGTCTAATATTAAAGACCCACACCCTATATTTTTTATCCGGATTTAGGGTCGACCCGCTGGTCCAGACCCGTTTTGCCAGGTCTAGTGATGTCCCATGTCTCCCAGGTCTCCATCTCCTCTCAAACTCGCCTCAGTACTTCCGATGGTGATTCTGCAACTCCTCCTCTTCAGCAGAAGTTCTGCAGCATCAATTCCATCATAGCCTCTTTTCTTGATGCTACACTATACTGCAACATGGTTGGTGGCCTTCAATAACTCACTCTCACTCGGGTGGACATCGCTTTTGCTGTAAATCAGGTTGCTCAACGGGTGCAATCTCCTACACTGGGATATGCGTTTGATTAAATGCATCCTTTGGTATGTCAAAAGTTCTTTTATCCGTGACCTTACTTTCCACTGTAATTCTAGGCTTCACTTGGTTGTGTATTCTGACATGAATTGGGCTTTTAATGTTTCTACCCACCAATCAGTCACTGGTGGTTATGTGTTTCTTGGTAACAATCTCCTTTCTTGGACTGCTAAGAAACAGTTTGTCGTCTCTCATTCTAGTGCTTAATCTGAGTATCGTGCTCTCGCATATATGGCTGTTGATATCAGTTGGTTATGTTATCTTTCTTCACGAGCTTGGCGTTCTATTGCTATTTTCTCCACTTTTACTCCAAAATAATCAATACTTTGCCTTGCATATGGCTACCAATTCTGTTTTTCATGCGAAGACACGCCATATTGACATTGATCTTCATTTCATTCGGAAGATGGATGCTTGCGGTGCTCTTCATCTTCGACATGTTCCTACCGCTGCTCAGCTTGTTGATCTTTTTACTAAGAGTCTCTCTTGGGAGCGTTTTCAGACACTCTGTTTTCAATTGTAGCTCTGTGACCTGCCACTTTAATTGCAAGGGAGTAATGAATAATTATATATTTGTACAATATTTGTTTTAGTGTCCTACTTGTTTATAAACTCTTCTAGGGTTCCTTGTTGTAATTTATATAGAAGGTTAATGAATTGACTGGCTGAATAAGCTGCATATTTTTGCTCTAAAACCCTTGCTACACTTTCTCTCGACTGGGTCATTCTTCATTGAGCTCAACGTGCACTCTAATAGGGCGTTTGGTTGGGGGTTATGTGAGATTATTAGGGTTCTGTCATCTTATATTACTTAATTACCACGTTTGGATATCAAAATAATATAAGATTATGGTATCCTCAAATACCAATAGTAGTAACTATTGGTAATATAGGAGGTAATCTGATTACCTCAATTTTCTTAGGTATTCTAAGATTACCAGGGTAATCTTTTTTTGTTACAATTCTATCCCTTATTAATAAAATTGTAGGACAATAATGCCCTTGTTATCTAAACAATTTACAAAAAAGTTATGGACATTTTTAACCTTATACACAAAAATTTAAACCCGTTTATACCCTCCAACTTCAACAAAATTAAATTCCCAACTTGATTACTGCATGAAATCCCTAAACCTAACTCCTTTATTCTTAAGTTACCGAATTAATTCTTCATCTACCAACTTAATTACCCACTTTTTCCATAGTTGAACACAAACCCAGTTGCATTTAACTTGAGCTTCCTTTCATCTTCAGATCAAGTGGAGTGCATCTTCTGCGAATTTCGTCATTAGTCTTCACTTCCAAGGAAATCGTCGTTGTTCCTTAAATCTCTGCCGTCTTCTCCCACCGAATCGAGGTATTCATCCAGTTTTCAGCTTCAGATCCGTAACTATGTTAGTGAGCCCTAAAATCAAAATTGAGCCCTAATTCGTTTGTTTTGGTTGGGCTTTGTTATTTAGAGTTGATTGACTGTTATACACTAATGCATTTATGTTTGGGTTGCATTCTTGAATCGTCGCTATTCCTTGAATCTTTGCTTTTGTGATGTCTTTGCTGAAGGTCAAGTGGTTTCATTCTTGATTGGGGAGTTTTTCCAAGTGTCCACTGCGTTTAGGTTGCCTGGTGTGACGTTTGCAGGGGTGTAGGCTGGATCTTAGTGTTCAGTTGGTTGTTTTGTGCTGGGGGAGGTTTTGTTTCTTGTTGGTTTCTGTTTGGCTTGGCCGTTTATGGTCTCTGTCCAACCGTTTTTTCTTTGATGATTTGTATAGGCATCTTGGCTGGCTGTGCTGGTCTGGATGTATTCTTGTATACATTTACATGTGAAATAATATATAATTTATAGATTATATTCACGCATTTTATTAACGGGTTATCCTAAATTTCTTTATATTCATTATTTATATAAAATTGGGCAATTAGTATTGAATCTTTATTACTTTTTTGGTAGCATTACGACAAACCTGTTCAGCTCTCCATAAATCATACAACTATTTACATTTTGTCTGAACTTGGAAAATATTCCAGCAGAAATTTAAGTTCCCTATCTCTTTCTTTGCACCAACCCATTGTAATTAGTAAGGTTTTGGTTTGTTGCAGCTGTTTTTCAACACTCTTGTTTGAAGAAAGAGAACATCAGGCTTTCATTTGTTCCTACTGTGAATATTCAGATTCCTGCCTATCATTTTGAATAGGTATAATTTTTGTTTTTGAACCCACTATTGTACCTGCCTTTTGCTTCTCAAATTAAATGCATGTCTTTACTAGTTTGAACATGGTAAAAGCGCAGATTTGTTTCTCTTATTTTTTACAAAGTTGGCTTGATAACAAGTAATCATTACATCATATGTTGTTCTAGTATTCTTTCAGTTTTAAGCCTGATATTTTGGTGTTGAATTGAAATCTAGTTTCAGGATGTTGGAGTTGTTTTATATTTGTGATTGTTATGTCATCTTCCCTCAAATATGACAGTAATCCAATGTTCCTCTGTGAACAATAATAGCTCGTTTAACTAAAAGGCAGAAGCATTTGGTGTCACTTATGATGATGTATTTTCATTTGATGGACACCCTAAACGCTATGCTAGTTTTTACGACGATTGCCTTGCTGCTGAAGAATAGGAATAGACATAGATGGGGCATATCATATGCAGGTAACTTTAGCAATAATCATACCATTAGGATATGCAGGTAACTTTAGCAATAACCATACCATTAGGACCCTCAATTTACGGAAAATGATTTTTGAAAATGATAACCAATGTGTAGTGAACTGTAGAATGAATATAACAACTTTTGAAAAATTATGTGTGTTACTTCAACGTGAAGGGGGGTTAAAATCAAGTAGAAATACATCTGTAGAGGAAATGATGTGTAGTTTTCTTCACATTTGTGTGCACCATATCAAGAACAGAGTCTTTAGCCGCCAAATAGCTAGGTCCGGTGAAACAGTTAGTAGAAATTTTCATGCAGTGTTGAACGCTGTTTTAAGAATGCATACAATTTTATTGAAAGAACCTGAGCCTATCACGGAGGACTCAACAGATGAACGCTGGAAATGGTTCAAGGCGTACATAATGAAGAACCTAAACAGTATATTATGGCTGTTTTTATGTAGGTTCCTTTTTAGTACAACACTAATTTATTAAATTTGTGTTATCCTATTAGTAGAATTGTTTGGACGCATTAGATGGAATATATATAAGGGTTCAAGTTGACGCCCATGATAAACCTATGTATCGCACTCGGAAAAATGAAATTGCGATGAATGTTCTTGTTGTTTGCACACCAAAAATGCAATTCATTTATATTCTTCCCAGGTGGGAAGGTTTAGCTGTTGATGGTAGAGTTCTTAGAGATGCAATTAGTAGAAGAAATGAATTAAAGGTCCCTCAAGGTATAGTTTTTATACAATTTTCCAGGTTCATTACGGTTACGGTGAACGATTAGATGAGTATTCGTAATTGACATTTTTATTATCATGCTAGGTTTTTACTATTTATGCGATGCAGGTTACACCAATGGGGAAGGGTTTTTGGCACCTTATAGAGGCCAAAGATACCATTTGAATGAGTGGAGAGATGGTTACCAACCAACGACACCTCAAGAATTTTTCAACATGAAACACTCTTGAGCAAGAAATTGCATTGAGAGATGTTTTGGCATCTTGAAAGCCCGTTGGAAGATTCTTAGTGAGAAATCTTTCTACCCTATCAAAACGCAGTGCAGAATAATATCCGCTTGTTGCCTGTTACATAACTACATTAGGTTTGAGATAGCTATTGACCCTATGGAAAGTGAGGTTGGTGAGATGAACAATACCCCACCGGAAGTCGATCCCGAACCTGAATTTATAAGCCATGTGGAACCCAATGATGCATGGACTGCATGGAGGGATAATCTAGCGCACCAGATGTTTGAAAGTTGGCAACGATCTAGGTAGTTGTAATTAGTTTAGGGTGTTTTTTCTTTGGGTGGCAATAGGTATGTTGTTTTGTACTTTATAATATATATTGCATGCCATAATGACATTTGACATTTGAATGTAAATTATTTGTCTTGGATTATATGTTTTTCGTTTTTGAATCTTCTATTGTATAAATACATTCTTGACTTTTATTATTTATTGAGGGGTTGTATCATTTAATATCTAATTATTTGGGACCCTAAATATTTCAACGTTGACAGTTGTGCAATTTGGTGACCATAAAGCATGTTTTGTGGATGCCAGAAATATTGGCTTTGAAACAAGTAGAAACCTGTAGGATATATGAATGTTGGTATCAGATGAATGTTATTGAACAGATGTGGTTTACTAGGATATAAGGTCAAACAATGGATGAAGAGAGCAAATATATCATTTGTTATCTTTTATCCTTGGAGACAAGGAAAAAAGGATAAAATGATGCTGAGTTTGCAAGTTCTTCTTTTTCCTTATTCATTTCAAGTCAGAAGCGTTTCTGGGTTAGTTTTGTTTAGTTTATGATTTATGTTGTACAATGGATTAATTTTGTATAGTTTGAGAAAACAGGAAGACTTACACTGCAATGATCACATACTATGACTCTTATAATTATGAGTAATGCTACAACCACCGAAGGTTGTGCACCGAATGACGTGACAAAATCCTGACCGTTTATTTATTATCAGTTAATATTAATCAACGGTCAGGATTTTGTCACGTCATTGGGTGTACAGATTTGGTGCGCAACCTTCGGTGGCTCTATCATTTTCATATAATTATTACATCTTCCATTCTGTCTTGCTAATAATAATTAATAATATCTTACATAGAGACTAAAATTAAGATACTATAGAGGGATTAGGAACATAATTGAAAGATAGGTTTGGAAATTTTTTACTCGAAAAAGTAATGGTTTTTTATGGAAAATTATTTGATCAAAGAAAGA